TTAGCTCTTCAATCAAGGCATCATACGTGATTCTATTATTAGCAACATATGTATGACTAATAGTAAGCTTTCTACATAACAAATAAGGTACCGGTAAGGTGTAATACATACTAAATATGTCAGCCATTTTATTTTAGTTACATTCATAAATTATTGAAATGTGTTATTAAACTGTCAAACACCAACCGGTCACCGGTGACCGCAACCTATTGTTCTATAATTGTGTCTACAAAACCGGTACTCGACGAGTTAAAATGCTTGTTTATCTATCAGAACCGAATGTTGTTTCGTCCGTGTGTCATTATAATCATGGAATGACTGCTCTCGCCCGGTTGAGGCGGGAGGGAGTGTCAGACTCTTACTGACTAAAAACCAGTAGGTAGGTACCTTCTCCTGAACGTCGAGCCGGGAGCCCCGGAAACCCGTTAGGTTCACCACGACGTTAGGATTAGTATAGGATTTAAAGCTAGTCGTTAAAAATATTATTATTTTTTATCAGTTTAGTAGTAAAATACATATATATGGCAAATAGATATAGTTTGACAGTATGTATGACAATTTTTTGTATAGGTAAGTAGACACCCGAAACACTAGAGGCGTTACAAGTTCGTTACCAGCATTTTGGGGATTAGGAATTTAAGAATTGCTGTGGAAAGGGATTGGAGAGATTGGGACCTGAAAGTGAAACAAGTTCACGTCGGTTTACTGCTCGGCCGTGGTATCACTCCAGTCGAGCCGGCCCATTCGTGCCGAAGCATGCCTCTCCCACACTTAAATTGTATCTAGATTATTTGTGTTTCATTGATTAAATCTAAGTTAATCTATCAGGTACGTGAACATCGTCCGTAGTCTACCTACTACTGATTATTTGCTGAAAAGACATTGAACACCAAGAACGACTAATCATGAATTCGGTCGTCAATCTTTAGCCCAATTAAAGTAGGTATGTGAAAGTTTACCTTTATGTACCTATGTAAGCGACTACTTCTAAGTAAAACTCAATACTTGAATACTGAAAATTTTATTCTAAACGGATCTTGTAAGAGGCTTTAGTACAAGTTTGTTTCACGTTTAAAGTAATCGAAACGAGTACGTATTCGGCGCTCTGATTGGCCGGCTCTAAAGAGCTGACAAATCGGAGAGCTGAAGGCAGTCTCGTTTCTGTTACTACGTAAAATAAACTCGTACTCAGAACACAGCGTGATGCTCGTCAAACTTCCCAGCAGAATCGCGCGTTACCACTCTTTGCGCGGGAAATGTTTCTAATCTGTCACATTTGACAGATGACATCGTCAACATGACAGCTAGTGCTGTCGATAATACAGATTAAACTAGTGACGTTCATTTAGTTGATTTTCGTCGTATAACACTACTAACACAATATAATTGGCTATAAAACAAAAGCTATAAAAACGAGTAAATACACAGCAAAATACTAGTTTAACTAAATGGCTACGTGAGTAGATTAATAATAAATAAAACGTACTATTTTATTACGGTATTAGCATAAGTATTGCTAAGTACACACGCGTTATATACTTGACTTTTTTACCGTTTATCTGTGTATCTGGGTGGTCTCCATAGAAACAAATAAGACTTTCTTCACTTCCAATGTCTAGACTTTCCTAAGTATGTACCTATTTCTGGATTAGCAACATCGTCATGTCACCATGAGCATAGTCATTATTATAGATGAACCTCCTTTAGATAGAACCTAACAAAAAAATAATTAGCTGTATCGGTTCAGCTGTTCTCGAGGTTTTGCGATTAATTTTTGTATTATAGGCATAATTATATGATTTTTTATGGGATACGCGTAAACGAGCATGGTTAATGAACCATGGGCGACGCCTCGGTGTTTGCTTACCATCACCTGATGGGAAACGAGCAGATGGATCACCTGATCCATCTGCTCGTTTCCCATTGGAATGAAAAAGAAAGAATGAAGCCTGGCCGTTACCGCACGGTATTCCTACATTATAGACACACTCCATCAAAATATTCAACCGTTCATTTCCAATCTTAGATTAGCCATTTTACTGAGTACATGTGTAGTAATTTATCTCCTTATTACATCTGTAATTTCCTTATCCCTGTGGCTAACCACAAATGAGGTTCTAAAACGTTAGGAAACTTGATAAACCTTTCACTGTAGTTAAACAGACGGCATATCACGGTATACTAAAATAAAAATTACAATTTTGACTTTTATTCAAAAGTTATAAAGTTGAAAACTGATTGAAGAATTCTGATAGATTAGGGTAGCTTGATGTGCCGTTCTTAGGTTTAGGACTAGACTTTTACGATCTCGTAATTTATTTGTATTATGTGGTCGTGTTAGCTTAGAGTCTTGCATAGGATCCATTAATATAATACAATAACCCAGAAAATCGTCCAGGGTCTGGTAATATTGGCACCACTTGGCGGTGGTGACGAAGTAGAATGTACTTATCTCAACCCTTTCTCTTTACGCTGGTACGGAATAGCCGATTAAGGGACTACATAACTGACAAAGACCCGGCAGCAGCACTTCTATTGCGATCTATATGTTGTAACCCAGGGAAGCGTGGAGCATCCTTGTGCGTACTGCTAAGGAGTGAATTTTTTTTGCCAGAGTTTGTTTTAACCTCAGGTGTCTTCAAGACACGAGTGAAAAGGTTGCATGCGTCGACGTGTTCCATCGTAGACCGCATCATCGCTTACCACCAGGCGAGATAGTGATCAAACGTCGACCCTTCAAATATAAAGAAGAAAGTTTTTTCAAACCTTGTCTCATATAGAGAAGTCTATAGCTCAGTAGTTAGTCACGAATTTTGAATACAATATCAACATTAATCAGTTATCAAATCGATAACCACAAATCAATTAAAACAAAACCAGCTTAACCTATAACACGCCTGCCATAATTAAATAGCAATCATTAGCATTCTTACCACTAACGTCATAAATTTAGGAACTACAATACTTTATTATTATTACATTTTAATTTGGTATTCGGTATTAGGTGGCCGACTTAGGTGCCCTAAATAGCAGCTAGACTGCAAGAAAGTAGCTGCGGCACGGTTGATGTCATGTTAGGCACTAAGGCTGCCGATTGGGTGAATTGGAATTGGTGTAGGGCGACTGTGAGTTTTTATTTGATAGGATAAAAAGGGATTTTTTTTTAAGGGGGGAAATTCATCGAATTACTGCTCCCGCCTGGGTGAGGCGGGAGGGAGTGTCAGACTCTTACTGACTAAAAACCACCCCGTTCCTTCTGCTGCACGTCGAGTCGGAGCCCCGGTTACCCGTTAGGTTCTCCGCGACAGGATAAAAAGGGATACTTACTAAGGAACTCCTGTGATTTTCGGGTAGTGATATGATCTTTTACATTCAGGAACAGGATATTCATGTACTCGTTGGAGTCCATGTTCTATTCAACTGCATGTTTTCAGCTGGGCCCACCCAAATAAATTGTGAGTTAGTTAAGGCCTTAACGAATTGTACTGATTCATAAAATAAAAGTATAAAATCGTAAAATCAAAAAAGATGTGAACAATTAACACTTATATGAAACACATTTATTAATTTCATGTGGATACAAAACCCACCACAAAAAGTTAGACCTCTATAATGTCGCGGAGAACCTAACGGGTAACCGGGGCTCCGGCTCGACGTGCAGGAGAAGGAACAGGGTGGTTTTAGTCAGTAAGAGTCTGACACTCCCTCCCGCCTCGCCCAGGCGGGAGCATTCATTCGATGATTTTCCCCGCTTAAAAAAAAAGATCTCTATAATTCCGAAAAAAGATAATTTTAAAATCTTTTAAATTGTAACACAAAAGAGTTCTGGGTACGTTTTGTCTCTCTTTTATTATAATAATCACACACACCACAAGAATTTCCATATTCAAATTCAAAGTGCGCGGTATCGTCCAAATCTAACCGATTTTTGGCTACTGAATATGAGTCATAGCATCCATGTCATCAGATATTTAACTCACACGTTGCTTTTCGTTGCGATGTCCCGCATAGAGGCGTGAACGAATTACTAATTACTGTTAAATTGTATGGGATCTAACTACGGCACTCAGAGGCCCTTAGGGATATTTTATTGGCGGGAATTCCGTTGATCGAAGCGACGGTTAAAAATGTTTAACTGTCAAAAAATAGACAACACGTTTGAAGTCACAATTTTTTCACATTTCAATAATTTAAGTTAGGTAGGTAATTTTCCCTCGAGTAAATTGTTAATTTTTCTTAAAATATTAAATGAAAATGTTAAATCAACTTACATTTAACGCAAGGCAATTAATAATTTGAAAAAATCTATCATGAAAACTAAAATAGGAACACAGCTGATCGGATTCGTTTCACAATCAAACTTAGCAGATATTTAGAATTTTATTCATTGATCAAATTCCTAATCACCAAAAGGCCGGTAACGCACTCGTAACGCCTTTGATGTTCCAGGACTTCCGTTCCATGGACCGCGCCTATTGCTTACCATCAGGTGATCTGTCTGCTCGTTTGCCAACTTATCCCACAAAAAACAATTAAAAACTACTACATACTTTTTTAATCATTTTATTGCGTTCAAGCGAAATTGTCCCATATCAACGTCAGGCATGCTATGCGTATTTGTTACGAGCAGCCCAGCAAACTGACAACATGTTCGGTATATTGATATTTTAAAAGTTAGACCAATTTGTTATTTTAAAAGTTTTGTAACGAAACAAACAGTATCACATCAATCACTAATAAGCCTAAGCTAGCTCCATCTCTTATAAAGTCTACCTAATCACATAATGGGGACCAAAATCAAAGAAAATATTATTATCTATTTGATTACACAATATTGATCATTCAATAAAACGATAAATCTAGCAGAATGATATTTATTTTTATTAACATATAATTTTGTACTTAAATAACGATTTAAAAACATAAATGACGAATTTATTATCAACGCGACGCAATAACAAAATGTAAATTCACAGATCGTTAATGACATCTGTCACTTTGACGTTTCCTTGTTTTGCAATCTCTGCTTTAATTTTGGACTTTGTTCGATTCGATTGTTTTTGTTTTCATTTAGTACTTTAGCTGTCCTAGTGTACGGTTGTGTCCACTTAATTAACTCAAAAATAAGAAAAATGTCTGCATTTATCAAAACAATTGCTTTTAACAATCCCAGGAAACTAATTTCTAGTGAGTAATCGATAGCATTCTTTTATAGTTATCTAACAATTTGTTATGTTATTTTAACATGTATTTGTCGCATTTAATTAAAGAAAACTTTGGTTTCTAGTACTTAATTAGTTAATATTTGATCGTAGAAATGTTTTACGTTAGCTATAATTTAGTAAAGCATTGTAGTTTCAGAGATTTGATTCAATAAAAATGTGTCTATTAAAAGTATGTTTCTCCGGCATATCGGCTTTAGAGGTACAGTTATAGTGGACTTTAGACTTTGATATAGCTATTTCTGAATTTATTACAGTCCGAAGTCCAAGACCAACAGAATAAATAATCTTATCTCGAGATCGAGGTTCTAATTTTAAATTCAAAATGAGAAAAGAACCTTGGTCTTTGAAATTGAAAAACTGGTTTTTTGGAGTTATTGTTATTTATTATTTTAACTAGCTGTGCCCGCGACTTCGTTCGCGTAGAATAGTGACTATGAGCAGCGTTTTTTTTTAATATTTACTTATTTTTATTTTAGATTTGGATCATAATCACAGTCATTTTACTGTAATGCTTCTCTACTTTACTGTAATGCTTCTCTATATACAATATTAGACGTATGGCCATCGGGGGTGAAAGCATACAGGCTGCTGGGATTGCTAACACGGGACAGAGCCACATACAATTGACCGTGCGAAAAACAGCTGATACTTAGATCTATACCCACAACTTTTAGAGTCTGACCTTGAGCTTTATTAATTGTCATGGCGAAACATAGGCTCACTGGAAACTGAATTCGTTTAAAAATAAACGGAAAATTTTTTGGAATGAGAGGAATCTGAGGAATAAAACCACTATCACCTTTTCCGCACCCTGTTAAATATATATATATTTATAAGCCATTTCTGAGATTAGCGTGAACAGACAAACAGACAAAAAAAAAGTTAGTTACATTTTTGGGTTCGAAATCGACATAACAATAGCCCCTGCTATTTTTTTATTTTTATTTTCAATGTACAGACAGCACTTTTCTACAATTTTATTATATGTATAGATAGATAGTGTTCGACGTGATTCTTTAATTTGACGTAACTTTTTTATTTATTAACCGATTGACATGAAACAAACACTAAAGCATAACTGAAGCATACCACAATATATTCGTGAAAACCGCATCCAACTCGGATAAGCCGTTTCTGAGATTAGCGTGAACAGACAAACAGACAAA